CTAATAAGTAATAACAGTAATAACCAATTGCTAATTTCTTCTATAGACATAAACGGTGTTTATGATGTGCATGTGTAAGTTCCCTAATAGTCGAAAAATTAGGGTTAGGAATACCAATTTTACTAAGTTATATTATCTATTAGGTAAATGTGGTTTTCATGGTTTTTACTAAATATATAAAAAATATCTAAAATTATACATTCGATCATAATAACTATTTTATTTTTTGTAACCAATATTTACCCTAAAAGAAGAAAAAAAATATTATTATTTCTATTATTTCTATAAAAATTTCTACATTTACAATAAAAAAAATTAAGGAGCACGTCTTATCGAGATAAAATATAGCCTATAGATATTTTGGATAATATAGCATTCTCATGGTAAAAAAATGTTTTAAGTTAAGTAGTCCAGAGATTAGCCCTAACAAAAGAACCATTTTCCTTCTTTATGTATTAGTATAGATGACATTATAATTTTTAGTAAACAAATTAATTGCTAATAACACACCGTCAATAAGTTTTTATTGGCTAAATATTAAGTTATTTCAAATATAGGTATTGGTTTACATTTTCTTGTAATGTATCAATGGTTTAATTTTGGTTTAACATTGGTACCTAACGATTATAATTTGTTTAAAGATTATTTTCCATATTGAAATGTTTTTTCACAGTTTACTTACCCAACTTTTACATTCAAATGAACATAAATATACATAAAAATACAATAATTATGGACAGTGTATTTGTATTTCATTTCGGGGCCACTAAAATCTTAATCCGGGGTTGGGTGACATTTGGCATAACAAATTAGTATAGGTTGTTTGTATAGGTACAAAATAATATAGCCATATAGGTAGTAGAAAATTATATAATAATATAATAATATTTTAAAAACGTATTAATCATACGGTTATTGGTAAAGACTTCCTTGTTAACAAAATACAGAGTATTAAATAGATAAATGAGATAGGTAACAAACAACCTTTAATAATAATATATTCTATTAACTAAAAATCAGATAGAACAAACTGTAACCTTATACAGTAAGAAATAATTATCCTATTAATTTTAATATTTAAATATTCAGTCACTTATATTATAATCATTAGCCTAAAGTAAAAAAAAATATATATTAATTATTAATTATATAGGTAAGTACTGTAATATTATATCGACTGTTTTACCTGCAATAGTAAATATTATGTTTTGATTAAGAAATCATCATGGAATTCCATTTTTCGTGTATCGCATATTTTATATCAAAGAATACATCACTATAATAATTTATTAATATATTATAATCTTGTATTATATTTGCATGTTTAATTGTTAACAAAAACGAATACCGTATTATGTAAATGCTATATACTTAGTAATATCCTAAATATTGCAATGTTTTTAATGTCATATATATAGGATACATAATTATTGTATACATAATTAGTTATTTATTAAAATATATAATGCTAAAATGGCAACAAGTCACCGAAAACGAAATTTAAATAAAAAGATACAAAAAAATCAAAAATAAACAAAACGTAAATATAAAATACATGCTGTAGGTACAAAAAAGCTCATAAATATTTATAATATTCTTAAAGTAGTACGAGGAAGTGGTTGGGTATGCATTAATTCACAGACTCTAAATTGAATCCGGTTATACAATATTATTTAAATATATATCATAAGTATTTCGATGGTTAAGCGCAGACATGTTTTTAAACTGTTCAGGATCCACATTTGAAATATATTTTTAGTAAAATGTCACACTAAATATTCAGTCATTTTTTTAAAAATATATATTCAAAAATAGCCTAACTTTTTTAGTGATATGAAATAAAATAAAAGTCTGGATAAATAGTACTTATCAAAAGTGGCGTTTAACCATCGATTTATTTATTTATTATTGATGAAAAAAATTATTTATTAATTTATTTGTCCTGTAAATAATTATACAATTGGTATGTAATAACTATTAATAATCAAATAAATATAAGAGGAATTTTAGGTACAGTATAAAATGACGCAGTGATGATGATCAAAATAAAATAAATATATTACTATGTAACAGGAAACCTATAATAGCCATCGTTCAATTATTTTCTTGAAATAGGTACCTAAAGCATAAAAATACGAATATAAAAACTAGTCGCTGGTATATCCATGCACACCATAATATTATAGCCATGTACAACCTACGTTAATATATAAATTATACATAGGAAATATTATAAATACAAATATAGTAGCATACAGCAGGAATGAGAACCCATTATAATTGAACTGATTGAATCTATTGTTTTTTCGATATTACAGTTGAAGTACAGTACTAGTTTATTTTATAATATATGCCCCCTCCCCCATTTTACTACCTACTCGTCAGCCAACATACGTATAATAATAATATTATATTTAACACAATGTGTAACAGTAAACAGTGCGAGAAAAATATAATAATTACAAGTTACAAAACGCGAACAAAAAAATAATAATCACTACCAAATCTCAAAACAATATTTCCAGTTATTAGCCACGTTTATATAGTACATAAGTACGTTCTCTGCGTAATAGTTAACCTTGTAAGAAGAGAACAAAGCAGATAATTATTATTTTAACACTCTTAAAACGTGTTACAACATCATGTATTATAACACGTATAATTATGTAGGTTCCTATATTTTTCGAAAATAAAACGTCCAGAGAAATTAAGAGTTTGCATCGAAAAATTTCATGTCAGGTGATTGAAAAAATCAAAATTATACACAAGTTTTAGGTAGGTATATTTATCTAATAACGAAATCGTAAAGTTAATTCTAATAGCTACCTATATATAAGGTGCTATACTGATAATGCCGTGTAAAAGAGTCCTATAGTGCATAAATTATGGTACCCATGTATTGCCTGTGTAACAAATCACAACCAACAGGAAATCGTCTTTACGGAAGTACAATACTATAATATTTTATAGGAATTCGTTATTAAAAAAAAAAACTAGATACCATAATTTAAAAAAAAAAAACATGAAAATCTAACACTCGTCGTGGGTTTCGTCGTTCGGCAACCTGTAGACGCACGACCTTGAATACCCTGCAAGAATTAGCGGTGGCGGAGAGGTATATAATATAATATAACATTTTGGGACTGTAGGTATCGTTTACTATGGCGAGACGAAACGGACGGTTAATCAGTTTGGAGTTGAAGTCGCCAAGAAAAGGCTAATAATATGATAAACCGGATAAACGGGTGAACGCTGATCGTATATTGCACAACTGCTACACAAGAGAAGCGCATTACTGTTCTACCGGTTAGGAAGAAGCCATTCGGCATACACGTTATTTTTAATATTTTTTTAACGTGTGAAAACACGATATTAATTATTATTATCATCAGTTTAGTCGGGTATGCCTACTAGATACGCCATCACCAATCATTGCACAAAAACACGGTTTGGCCTTGTCTGATTGTATCAAAAGGTTAGCGTCACTTTATATTATTATCATCAGTTTGCTTTAAATACACAAAAATAATTATTGAGGGCCCTGGATATTGTTTACTAAAATTAAATTATTTAAATTACAAAAAGGCGGACGAGTGGGTACCACCCTGCTAGCTACTATACAGTATTCGTTAAGTGTGTCATTGTAATGGATGTGATATATTTGAATTCAATGATTAGCCATTGCATAAAAAAACGATTCTGCACGGAGACGTTGTGTCATCTTAGTAAACTCGTATAAATAACTAAATTTTATAATTAAAAATAATTGATAAAAATCGAAAATATCATAATATGGCTATAAATAGCGTAACATACCGCTAAACTTTTTGTTTTTGTTAAAGTTAGAACAATTTGTAAAGAATCTTCTATGTAAATATCTAATATTAGCTATGAAAAGAAAAACTTTTATGAATTTCTGACTGAAAAATAATTTTTTTTTTTTCGGTTTCAACCGAAGGCGCCGCGGGAATTGCTTTCGCACTCTTTCGCGGCGTACCTGATAAATAATTTACAAAATTTGAAAAATACTCATGGCTGTAAATAGCTCAAAATATACTAAAGAATTTTTAATTTTAATAATATTTGGAAAATGCTAATCTAAATATATGGTGAAAATTTCAATTGTCTACGGTTATTCGTTTTGGAAACCACAAATGAAATAATGTATTAATTTATGTTATCGTTAGGTACTCCAGTTTTTTTTACAAAATATGTTTTTAAAACTGCAAAGAGTTTTGAAATGTTGATTTCCTAGTATATCTGGGTTTGATTCAATAAGTAGGTACCTACCTACCCTAACTTAAGTGCTTAACCTTTTAGAGTATATGCATTATGCATATTGTGACTTGTGAGACGTGATGTTTACTGTCTAAAAAATACTCATGAAATAAACAAGTTGAAATAGATCATTTCTTATTGATCTATAATATATCATATACTATATATAATTTAAAATTAATAATATTTTCAGTACATTATTTTTTCAACATAATATGACTAATACGCGTAACTTATTATAATATCTAAGTAATAATATAGGTAGGTAGTTTCAAAAAAACATTGGGTGTATGTTATTATTCATTACATCCGTGAATAATTGTATGTACCTATTACACATTAAAAATCAATATTTCAAAAACTATAGGTACATTAAATAAATTTGAAAATAATCAACGGGTATTGCTATAATGGACAAGGTTAAGGTTTGACGTTAGGTACGTCAATTCTTTAATAAGTTACTTATTAGAAATATGATTATAGTTACTATTTTAATTCTAATCAATAAATGCGTGGTAGTACAATATTATGTTTTTATAGAAGTAAGTTTTTTAACAAATATTGTGTATTTTTCACAGAATTATTATATTTTATTATTTAAGTAATTTGTATAAAATGTAATGCTGAAGCGAAAAACTATGACTTTGAATTCATTAAGCTTAATAGCTGATAATTATTATATATATTGATATAATTTTTTTTTAACAGTTATAAATCTTAAGATGGAAGACATCAACCTCGATCATGTACGTGAAACAAGTAGTGACATAAATTTAGCAGTTAAAATCACTGATGCTTATAAAGCATACAACTCAACGGCTGTCGTATTAAATGGATTCAACATGAATGTGAAAAAAGGAACAATGTAATTAACTTTTTTTTATCAACTTTGTTTTTGATAATTTTAGATACTCTATAACTTATTTGATAGTTAACTAATATTATTTTATTAAATTTTACCCAATAGATATGGCTTATTAGGACCAAGTGGATGTGGCAAAACAACGTTACTATCTTGTATTATTGGCCGAGGTAGATTGGACTCTGGACACATTCAACTTTCTGTAAGAAAGAAAAAAGAAATAGGTTACATGCCACAGGTAATTGCAAAAACTACTATATAATTTAGAATGAACATAGTTCATAGTAAGACTAATACAAATATAACTCATAATAATAATAAACTTTAGAATTATATTATTATAATTACACGGGATGGGGCGAGTTGTGGGTGTATAGAGAAAAATTTAGACTGATCTCACAGTATCCTCTCCGTGAGTACAAAATCCTATATAGTTATCAGACATCATAATACGCGGAATTACAACCCAAGAGATTCTTAGCTGTCTGACGCCAGTCAAATACATTATTACGACTATAATCACTAGTTAATTGTTATCCATCCATCCAAGTTTTAATCAATAAATAATTATTGAGTATATTCATTAATACTGTAAATGAATACACGTGGAAATTAAAGAACATCCTATAAGCAGTAGTGGATTTGGTAATTTTTACACCCCTAGGCTAATAAAAAAATAAATAATAATTTTTGGAATAATTAAATTATACCTATCTACTTCGTACGTTCACATTTATTGTGTTATAATTAACATTATATAATAGGTACTTGGTACTATGTACAATATCAATATGGAAGACATTGAAACAAATTAAAACCTACTACCTACGTATATATGTAATTAAAATTGAAATTCTATATGTACCTTTGTCGATATTTTTTTTTTGGGGGGGGGGGAATTATCGCCCAGTCACCGTGACCTTTATCTCAATAAATATTATGTAAACTGTTTATACCTACCGGGTATTATCTTCTTGTTGATTGAACATAATAAGTAACTTGAATTAATAACCAATAAAATAATAATTTTTTTATATTATATGTTCCCTTCATTGTAACATAAAGGTATCATTATGTATTATTAGAGACTTTATTAAAGCAGCTACACTATTCTAAACATATACAAATATACAATACATAAGTAATAAATATTGATGTATAATTAAACACACGTAGGTCTTATACTAGATAATAATATATATAATTTAATAATTATACTGTTATAGTATTATCGAGAATATCCATATTATTAACGAGTGCTTAAACGTTTTGTCGGTAGATATTCGTTAACGCAATACTCGAAATTATGCATTTAACATAAGCCACTCTAATTTCAGAAAACACTCATGTTTTTGAAAATATTTCTTTTTCATAATATTTTAAGTCTTTACTGAGCAACATTTTTGAAAAAAAGTTATATTTTACAATTTTTTAACATAATCAATTTTAAATGTTTTGAGATTTTTGAATTAAAATATAATATTCTTTTAATTTCATATTCCAAAGCAAAATATTATTCGAAGTATTTCGATCTATAAAAATCAAATTTTGGACAAGTACTAAGTAGTTATACTTAAGTTCATGAGTATTTAAAGTTTTGATGCCCTGTTGGTAGTGGATCTACATTTTGCGTGGAACCCGTGTACCAATCCACTCATCTAAACTTTAAATATTTAAACTAGGGTCTAGGGAGCGAATGTTTATGATCTAACAAAATAAAAAATATGAATGCACTTATACACTATAAAGTATAAAAATATGCTTACAGTTTATTTAAAATATGCATCAATAAAAATGCATTAATTAACAATATTATTCATTTATTTAAGCTATATTTTTTTAAATTTATTTATACTTTATATCATTTATAAAAAATTTAAAACAGTAAATAAATTTTAAAATTTAACTTTGCTGAACGCCTTGAATTGTTGATTGTTCTGAAAAAATATACATAATACATGTTAGAAAATAATTAAGTGTACAAAATATTCAAAGTAATATTATACAACGAAAACCCATAAATATACACTAAAAATATGACGAATATAAAAATATTATGATCAAGCAAATACAAATTAAATACACAAAAATATACAAAATTAAATTGTTCCTCCATATTAAATTAGATTTTTAAAAAAAATATGATAAATGCATAATATACAACCGCTTCCTACTTATAACTCATAAATTATCTACAAGTCCAAAATTTAATTTTTATATGTCAAAGTACTATTCGAAAATATATTCTGCTATAAGAATAAGGAATTAAAATGTATATAGACAAATTATGGTTATAAAAGTAAAAAATTATAACGATAGTGGGAAAAACAATTATCTTTTTAGAAAGATTTTATTTTTTAATGATTTAAAATTATACAAAAACAAATATTATCAAAAATTCTAATAGTTTTTAAAATAATCAATACCTTACGTTAAATGAGTCACTCGGTATTTATATAATGCAATATAAATTATTATATAAGTACTACATAAAAAAATTGATATGACAATAATTAATATGTATTAGTAATTAGTATTAGGTACCAATAATAATAATAATTATTATGTTAATTATATATTAAATAATATAATATTTATTATATATTATCTTATATATTTTTATATTTTTGTTTAGGATTTAGCACTCTACGAAGAATTTGACATACTAGAAACCTTCCATTATTTTGGATCTTTGTACGAAATGTCTTATAAAGATATTATAGATAAAGGTGAAAAGTTGATAAATTTAATGGAAATGCCCCCGGCCAAGACTCAATTTGGTTCAATGAGGTAACTTTTAAAAAATATGTACGAGTACATAAATGTAACAATCTTTTGATTTTGACATTGATAATTTAATATTGAGAAATAATTTTTAGTGGTGGACAACAAAGAAGGTTCTCTTTGTGTACAGCTCTTTTGCACGACCCAAGTTTGTTGATATTGGATGAGCCCACTGTCGGACTCGATCCAATCATTAGTGCAAGGTAAGATACAAATACTTAATGGTAAACAATTAAGTCTATTTGTCTTTCAGTAATCATTACAATTGATCATTAATTATATTATTAATATTAATTTAATTATTCATTATTATAAAATATAAAGTATAAACACAACTGTAAACCGGCTTAAGTCCCAATAATAGCAAATAATGCTGGAAAATTAATCGTTTATCCTATCTGTGTTCACTTGTATCTATAATAACAATGATTTAATCTTTATGTTATAAATAATAAACAGATATATGATCGTACACTAAATGTCTATATAAATGTAAAACTATTTAGCATATGGGAGTATTTACAAGATTTAACGAACCGTGGAAAAACAATAATTATCACAACTCATTACATTGAAGAAGCACGGCTTGCAAATACAGTAAATTTATTAACGATACAATATTATATAATATTTTGTAATAAAATGTCTATGATTTTAAACTCAATTTAAATTCAGATAGGCTTGATGAGGAAAGGTATTTTACTATCTGAAGCGCCTCCACTGGAAATTATGGCGTCTTGCAATGCTGACACACTCGAAAGTGCCTTTTTAATACTCAGTCAAAAGCAGACATCGGATACGGAAACAATTGTTGAGTGCAATTTATTTTATCTTTTTCGTGGATGAGCCTAATATATAGCATATCGTGTTTACTAATACGGTAATATAACTTATTAGGAACCAAGAAAAAAATCCACTTTACAGCCAGCTACGACGTCACTGGAAAAATCATCACTTTTTTCGCCAAAACGGTTCAAAGCTCAATTATTGAAACATTGGTATTGGAGCGTCAGGAACTGGACGTTAGTATAATATTATATACCAATCGCTATTATACATTCAATAATTAAATTAAACTGTGTCAATTATTTATTTTAGAATCATTTTGTTTGTTTGTCTCTTACCACTTTTAACTATAACGATTTATAATTTAACCATTGGACAATCCCCACAACCACTCAACGTAGGAATCGTCAATTATGAAAATCCTTCACATTGCTCATATAAGACGTATGATTTATGTGATAGCAAAATTCCACTCAGTTGCAAATATATGAAGGAGATGGAAAAACATGATTTAACTCTGGTGATTAAGATTATATTATTTGGGATTTAAAATTTTACTTTTTTCAATAGTTAATTATTCTACCAATTTTATCAAAATAATATTTCTTAAAATTTAAGTTAACACGTATGCTTTCTTTATTTTAATCAATCATAAAAATAATATAACAACATTAATTATATTTTATAATACCGACAGACTATATACAAAGAAGATGAGAAGTTAGCAAGACAAGACGCAAGACACGGTCATACGTGGGGTTTCGTAACATTTGCAAAAAATTTTACTGATATGATCGGAGTGAAATTTAGTGATCCATCAATAATGAGTTCACATGATATAGAAGAATCTGCAATTGTAGCATATTGGATATGGCAAGTAATTATTTTAGTAGTATGCTACTATTAAAAAAAAAAAAATTAAAAATAACTTGTTTTCATTTCAGACATGTACTTAGAACAATAATCCAAGGAAAATTACATCAAGTTATAAAGCCTCACTCAATCTTTACAATTTGTAATAAATCTGCAGTTACTACGGCACTTAGATCCAGTACCAATAACGGTATGCATGTATATTATAAAATCTCAATACTTGCTTAAGGTTTAACGAAAAATCATACTTAACAACCAAACCAAAAATGTTATTTTAGTTGATGGAGCCTGTATTTGGAACTTTATATGACATTAATATGTCACATTACGGAGCTGCAGCAATAATATCGCGTACGTTAATATTAAAATTATATTATTTATTCTAATTTATGTATTTAACTAGACTACTAAATAGTAATCTTTTTACACATTTTACGGAGCACCATTTTTGGATTAGTAAGAAGTCTCTAAAAATCATGCATGATACATCATGAAATCATAATAACTCATCAATCATCATATATTTAGGACATTTTAATTTCTAGATTTGTTCATATACCACTAACAAAAAATACCCGTGGAAATATTTCATACGGCAGTACCTACCTAATTCTATAGGCACGTTTAAGACTAAAAAAAAGATTTTAAATGCTATAGACTTTAATGACACGAGCTGAACTAGTGGGCAGTGGCACCTCCTAACGCCTAAGATTTATATATTTTCGAGTGTTTCAACTTCAAACAACTTTTAAAAATGTTTTAGATTGGAGTTATACTTGACGTTCCTGTTTACAGCGTTATCAATTAGTATGGAGAAAA